CCTCTGTGCTGCAGGGCCTCTCCCTCCACACCCAGCAGCCCCTCAGGTAACCTCCCCGGGAAGTTCTGGTGGTAGCAGGTAGGGGAGTATCCCTCCCACACATGCAGTGGCCCGTGTAGGGTGAACACGTACATGAGGTGGCTTCATGAGTTCGTTTTCCCAGGAGGACAGTGATGCTCAGAGGAAGAGTTAGGTTGTTCCAGGGCAAACAGGAATTGCCCCATCCGTGAGCCCTCCACCAGGACCCTCCCCATGGCAGCCAAGGGCATCGCTCCCCCTATTTCCTCTAGAACCTCACTGCCTTGAATTCCGTTTCTGGGTGGGGAGATAAGCAGACCTATGGGCTCCTCCTGCCCTTCTCTCTGCTGTGCCTCAGTTTCCCTTCCTCTCTGATACATACATGAACTCTATTGCCCATAATAATGGCCAACAGTGAGAGATCAAGTAGTAACAGCAAAGGTAGGCTTTATTTGTGAATTTCCCCTGGAGTTCCCTCTGGACCCCAAACGACCTTTGATCTCCAGAAACAGGAACCCAGGTCTGGGGAGAGCCTTGGGACGGAGACCAGTTGGCTGCATGGAAAACCCCCACCCTGACCTCGCCCTGGTCTCCTGCCATGGAGGCCTTCTCTCCAGGAGGGGTCTGGGGAGCCCTCTGGGGGAGGCTCACTCTGAGGAGGAGTCAGGAGGAGAAGCGCCACCCTCACTTGGCTTTTCCCGCTCTCAGACGGTTTCTGGGAAACGGTGGACTTGTCCACATTGACTTTTCTACACTTGCAAGTCTCTTGTTTACAGTGAACTCTAACCTTGCAGTATCTCCTATTTACACACACAAAGCTGCTGACATTTTGGGGAGTTTTTGTAGTGGGACTTTGAAAGTTTGCTTAGCAAAGTTACGCAAAACGCAAACTCCAGAGGGACATTGGGAACACACTGGTCTGGTCCAGGTGACCTTTTCCATTTTCTAAAAGCATGTTTAACTTTCATGACCATCTAAGTTGAGGGTCAGGACTTGGACCGGAAAGGACTTGGCATTTAAACATGATGCGGTCAAAGAGAGGGGAGCCCTCCTGCAGCCCCGACCACCATACGCCATACAACACACACGTGGGGGTCACCTGAGGAATTGTAGAAACTTAGGGCTTGAGCCCACCCCACAGACTCTGATTCAAGTGCACTGGGCTGTGGCCTACATGAAGGACTGCAGAGTCCCCTGATCTGGGGCAGTTAGTACTAGTGGACATGTAAGTTGCTCAGGCAACTACAGCAAGGTGGGCCCAGGCATGGGCACATTTTTAAAGGGCCCCCGGTGCACCTTTGTCTCTCTCTAAAAATCAATAAAAACAAACATCCTCAGGTGAGGATTAAAAACACACACACAAAAACAAAATATAAGTACCCCAGGTGATTCTAGCATGAAGGTAGAAAGAAGAGCCAGTGGTTAAGTCAATGTTAAAATGCCCCGCCAATGAGCAGCTCTCTGGGCTGCCCCTTCCCAGGGAGTCTGTCTTTGACAGGAAGCCCCTGGGGACACACTCACACCTTTGTCTCTGTCCAGGTGAACCACAGGCCTGGGAGGCTATGGTGCACCTGGGGGAGAACCCACCTCGACACCAGGGTGCGGCCACCCTTGCTGCGCCTTGTCTCTGCTCCCAGAACTTTGGTCATTTATTCTCAAGGGTCCTGAGTGTGGCCTGCCCAGAGGGCAGTTTAGGACAATCAGAAACAGAAAAAACGTGCTATGAATGGAAAGGGCCTCCCATGGTTTTGAGCAGAGAGTCATCGGGGGGCTGTGAACCCCTGTTCTGTAAAGTATAACGTTTTCAGGAGGAAGCTTCCAACCAGGCAAGGGAAGGGCAGGACCTAGTGTTCCAAATGACAATTTCATTTCCCACTTCACTTGAGCAAGGCCAAGGTCAGGCTAAGGAACCAACACAATCACCATAGAGAGGAAACTTATTCCAGGATTCAGCCTGTTCAGACTGGCACGTGTTAACACACAATGAGACACCAATGGCTGCCAGGGGTGTTGGGGGTGGGGGGAGGGCATTAATCTAATGACAGGGGAGCGGCAGTGGTCTTGGTTTTTTTCATGGACTTCTCGATCCACTTGAGGAAGTTGGTGACTTTGGTGTAGATTCCGAACTTTCCTTTCCGTGCACATCCTTCTCCCCAGCTGATGATGCCCGTGATAAAGTAGGTGTCCTTGAAGCGAGTGACATGGGGACCCCCGCTGTCTCCCTGACAGGCATCCTCCAGCTTTGAGTCATAGCCGGCGCAGAACTTGTTTGGGGTGATGCTGAAGGGGGTGGACAGCTTGCATGTGTTCCTGTCCACGTAGGGCACCTCCAGCATCTTGAGCGTGACGGACGTGCGGCCCATCTCGTGGATGCGCCCAAAGCCGCTCACGATGCCTGATTTCTGTGTCATGAGGGTGGACTCGGCCCAGTCCTTCTCCGGCAGGCAAGCAGGGGCCACGTTCATGCGGAATTTGATGGGCGTCTTCAGCTTGAGGACAGCGATGTCACAGTTATAGGTCTTATTGTCAAACCCTTTGTGTTTTACAATCACCTCCACCTCGTGCACCATCTCGTTGCCGTCCTCCTTCTCCGTGTTTCGATCGCCTGGAAAATGGTGACAGCACGGCCGTGTTAGCCCACTGGGCCACGTGTTCTTGGTGGGTTACTTTTTAAAGGAGCTATTGTTGTTTTTTCTACTTAAAAAAAAGGGTATATAGTCACTAGGAAATTTGAAAAATATAAGAAATCATAAAGAGGTGAATTAAAATGACCTTCAATTTCACTATTTTTAGTCACATTTTTCCATGTACGTTCAGTTCTTCAGGGACTTCCAGTTCACTCATTTTTGTATACACATATTTCCCGAGGATGTGTTGAGTGCCAGAGACACGAGGGAGATGAAGGCCTGAGGTTCTAGACCTGAGCTGTCTAGAGGCCACCACCAGCCACAGGGGCAATGGGCACTTGAAGTGTGGCTGGTCTGAACGGAGACGTGCTGTGAGTGTCAAATTTCAGACTGAGAGTGAGAATAATATTCAAAATAGCTCATAAATACGTCAACAATGGATTACATATTGAAACATTCTGGGCGTGTTGAGTAAAATATGATATATTATTAAAATTAATTTCACCTGTAAACTTTTAAAATGTATAGTGGAAAAGTTAATGTAACTAGCACATTAAAATGCATGTGGCTCACATTTGTGGCTTTCATCAGACAGCTCTAGAGTCTGGTAGGGAAGGACAGACATTACAAAATAATCCCACAGACAAAAATATAAGGAACAGAGAGACTCAGTGCGCAGATCGTCGAAGGGGTTCTGGAGGCCTCCCCAGAGGAAAGGTCGCTGAGAGGATACCCAGCACTTGGGGCATGGACACCAAGAGCCTCAGTGAGGACCATGAGGGAGGAGAACTGGGCTGGATTGGACCATAGAGACTGTCAGCTTAGAAAGATTGACTAGACCTGCCCATTTTCCTCCTACCTCCACTCTTTTCTCATCTTCACCCTACTCACCTTCTTGTCTTCCTCCTCTTCTCCCTTCTTCTTCTCATCCTTCTTTCTCTCCTCCTCTTCTTCCTCCTTCCTTTTCTTCCCCTCTTCTATACTCTCATCCCCTCCCCCTCACCTTCCCCTCCTCCTTCTCTTCCCCCTCCTCCTTATAGCTCTCCTCTCCCTCCCCCTCACCCCCTCCTACTTCTCCTCTCCCTCTCTTCCTC